TTTTTTTTTTTTTTTTTTTCAATTGCTTGTCTTTCTTTCTGCTTCCTTGGAATCCCAAGGCCTGGGTTTGAAGGAACCTAGGCACTGGGGTTCAAAGGAACCCAGGCCCTGGGTTCCTTCGAACCCAGTGGCAGAAAATTAAAAAATTTCTGTTTTTTGTTTTGTTTGTGAGTTTTGTTATTTGATGATGATGATGAAGCCACAAGGGTAGAGATTAGTTAAGATGTTTGGATTTGTAGAAGTTGAAGAAAGAGAAAGGAAAAGAGGAAAGGGAGGAACAAAAAAAAATAAAAATTTGTTGGAAAGAATCCAAGGTGGATTTGCTGACATGTTAAAAAATATCCAAGTTGGTGCTGACATGTAAATTTATAACGGAAATAACGATGCACATGTAGCACGTGATCGTTTGACATTAAATTTTGCCTCATTTCCTCAAATTAGAAATCACAAAGGGTAAAAATTCATATATTGAAATATGAGGGGTAAAATGCTTCAAATTCGAAATCTTTAAAGGCAAACGGGTACCTTTTGCCGTAAATAAACTGGTTTGAATGTGATACTAATTAAAAAATCGTTCACATATCCACTACTGCATTATATACTGCATTATATACTGACCATGTAAATGAGTTATTTAATTAAATAAAAGTAAACACCAATATAAAGTTAAATTAACTCTACCCATGATAAAAATCAAACTTAAAATCTTAAGATGATATTGACCCTTGAAAGGAAAGGCACTGTTTAGCTAGTATAATTGCAATTGTTTTATGGTCTCCCAACAATGCTTCAATAGTAAAAAACTTGAGTCTCTAAAATTGATGAAGAGAAGTTTAGAAAATGAAAGGTTATTTTCTATTATATAATGTTCATCATTTGATTGTACAAAAACAAAAATATTACAATATTTAATTTTTAGTTTTTATTATTAAAATTTAAACAATTAAAATTAACAATTACAAACAAAATTTTAAAAAAATCAACTTATTAAGAATAAATTTTTAAAACTATTACTAGTTAATTAATTTAAAAAGAGTTTGATTAATTTGTGCAGATAATAAATTATTTAGAATGAGAGCTTATTGTGTTTGGTTGGTTTGAGGAAAATGAAAAAAACAATTGTGTTCAATCAAATTAAAATATTAAACCAATATTTAAGGTCTATTCAGTACATAAAAAATGGTTTTATATTGGAAAATATTGTTCAAAAATTATTACAGTCATACAATGAAATCAAAATTTAAAAGAACTTTACGAAAAATTATTTCATCCATGCCTCTTTTGATCTCAAATTTATTATGTTTGATTTAAGAAGAGTGAAAAAAAAAAGTAAACAATTTATCCAATGAAATAACCATAAAACATTAGACAATTATTTTATCTGAAAATACAACACTTGGAAATCAAATTTCCTAATCCTTTCCAATGGCAGAGCTCTCAAACCCACTTTTAAAAAATATCGTAGAAACACATTCACACCTCAAAAAAATGAAGGAATAAATTGCATCTTTAAATCATAAATCAATATAAATTATTTTTTTAATGTTTTTTTGTTAAAAAATA